GGCCATTTTTTGGTTGCAGCCATCATTGTTTGGCAGGCCCAGGCTGGGGATTCGAATCCGCCACCTTAGGTGTATGTGGCTGGCGCCTTAGCCGCTTGAGCCACAGGCGCCGAGCCAGTTTTAATGTTCTTTATTTCTTCATTCTTTTAATCTTGTCTGACTTTGTATTATGTTTGTAATCAGAAAGAATTCTATAAAAGTGAAAAGATATTTTAAAATCCCCATTCCAGCTGATTTGACCCTTGCCCTTCCCTTTTGCACTCTTGGTCAGGTGGATCTCTCCACCCACTGCGGCTTCATGGGTGGCCTCCAGCGCAATGGCAGCACCGGGCAGACCGCCCCTTACTACGCTACCTCGACCGTGGAAGTGATCTTCCACGTTTCTACTCGGATGCCATCAGACTCAGATGATTCACTCACCAAAAAGGTAAGGGACCTCTTTGTGGGACCCTGGTGGCCCTGGCTTGTAGGGAGACCATGCTGGGACTGGACAATGTGCAGTGCCCAGAAGCCCTGAGTCTGTCTCCCCTGGACCCGACGTCCGCGTGGCTCCTCCTCAGGCTGCATCTGTGGTCGCCTTAAATACTAGCGTGGCCCAAACTAAATAACAAAGGACATGAAAAGGAATGGGTTATTTGAGTCTTAAATCCTGAGAATGAGGTTTAGGGAAAGGAAGGGTCATACTTCATTACTGTCTGATCTCCCTTCCTGTGAATGTTAGCTGATAGAAAATAACATTTTTGACCTCACAGATTGTTAAAGGTCACAAGATGTAATGTCTAAGAGCAGGCAGGCCACTCTCAGGCTTGCTGTGGGCGGTTTGGCAACATGCAGTGTGGCCAGTGCTGGTGGGCTGCTGGCCCTGCAGGCCCAGCCTTGCCGCTTACCTTCCTTCAGCTTTCCCTGGGGGCACTTTAACCCAGAATTCAAAGGAAAGTCCATCCATGTGAAGGACCTTAATGGAAGAGGAATTTTAGTCTAGGAGGGAAATCTAGTAATCTGATCCATTTCTGTAAGTTTCCAGATGAGAAAAGAGTCTCCAAGTGACTATTATTTACGCTCTCCTGGCCTGCTGGCAGGTGGCTGATCCTAGAATCCCAGGCTCCCCCCTCCACTCTCTTCTCATGACACAGATGGGGGGACTGAGATGCTGCCTCATGGTGGCCACTGGCAAGTGCAGCGTGGTGGTGTAGCCAGGCCCCGGGGATGGGCGCTCCTGGTTCTGTGTGTGTGTTGAGCTATTTCACCAGCTTGTGCTCCTATTTCGCATTTCCTAAAAGGGATTCAAAATACCTCCTATGGCACAGGGCTGTTGAGTGAAGCAGAATTGCTGAGCACAGAGCCTGAGAGGATGTCCCTGACTGTTACCCTCATCCTTGCCCATCAGTCTAACTGACTCTGCTGCCCTGCTGGCTGGATGTTTACATTGGCTGATGGGCTTCCGGATACCGGCCTCGTTTTTATTTTCTGCGGTTTTACTTTCGCCTTGCTACGGCCGCAGGTCTGGACTGCGTGCAGACACACCTTGTCTTCTTACTCTTCACCTCGTTCCCCACACAGACTTCGTGTTTCCGCATTGAAGGTCTGTGCCAACCCTGCATTAAGCACAACTGTCAGCACAGGCCTGTTTTTTCAAACAGCAGGTGTTCACTTTATGTCTCTGAGACATTTTGCTTATTCACATAATACTTCTGACTTTTTCATTACTGTATCTATTATGGTGATCTGTGATTGGTGAACTTTGACATTACTGTTGTAGTGGTTTGGGGACACCACAAACTGTCTCATCTAAGATGACCAAGTTCATTGCTGAGTGTCGTGTTTGTTCTGACTACTCCACTGGCCAGTCCCCGTCTCTCTCCCACTCCTTGGGCTTCCTGATTCCCTGAGATAAAATAGTATTGAAATTCGGCCAACTAACAACCCTACAGTGACCTGTAAGTGTTCAAGTAAAAGGAAGCATAGCACATCTCTCACTTGAAATCAAAAGCTAGAAATAATTGAGCTCAGTGAGAAAGATAGGTCAAAAGTTGAGAATGACTGGAAGCCAGGCCAGTTGCATCAAACAGCCAAGTTGTGAATGCAAAGGGAAAGTTCTGGAAGGAAATTAAAAGTGAATACATGAATGATGCAAAAAGAAACAGCTTTGTTGCTGATGGGGAGAAAGTTTGAGTGGTCTGGACAGAAAATTAAACTGGCCACAGTGTTCCCTTAACCAAAGCCTAATTCAGAGCAAGGCCCTAACTTTCTTCAATGCTGTGAGGTGAGGAAGCTGCAAAAGAAAAGTTTGAAACCAACAGAAGTTGATTCCTAAGACTTAAAGAAAGAAGCCTTCTCCATAATAGAAGTACAAAGTGAAACAGCAGGGGCTGGGGGGAAGTGATTCCGGAATTTTGCTCTTCAGTAGGTTCTTGGTCTCAGTGATTTGAAGAATGAATCTGTAGACCACAGATCAGTGATAAGACAGGATTTATTTAACAGAAAAGAATACAGAAGTGCCAGAGCTCCTGGCAGAGAGAGAAAACCCAAGTCGGGAGAGAAAATGTCTCTCTATCTATATATACTGTCGCATGGGGTCCTCAGTAGTTACATTTAGTGGGGCTTGGTGGTTACATTTAGCTGTTTGGGACATGTCTGGGTCGTGTTGGGACAGTGTGTCTGGGGCATGTCTGGGTCACAAATGAATGTCTACAACCCTTTCATTCCCAGGCCTAGGAAATGGGGTCCCCCTGCCTACCCTCCAGCCTGCTGGTTCCACTGCTCACTGCCACCACACCAACACCGCCAAGGCGGAGGCAACAGGTCCAGCCCCCCAGCTCCACAAGCTGGCTGGGGTGCCACTTGTCCTGTATCAGAAGCTGCAGCAAATTATCAAAAAGATCTAGCTAAGATAATTAGTGAAGGGGGCTGCACTACACAGCAGATTTTCAGAGTAGATCAAAAAACCTTCTACTGCAAGAAGATGCCATATACAACTCTCATAACTAAAGAGAAGTCAGTTCCTGGCTTTGAAACACTTAAGGACAGTCTGACTCTCCTGTTAAGAGCTAATGCAGCAGGTGACTTGAGTTGAAGCCAGTGCTCATTTACAATTTTGAAAACCCTAGGGCCTTTAACATGTTAACTACCATGTGAGTTGTATTTAATTCATGCTAGTTTTGAGCCCAGAGCCTCGTGAATCATCACCAAATAGATCACCATCTTCATCACTCATGTCCAAAATTTCATTTACTTTTTTCTCTATAATTCCTTATGCTCATTTTCTCTGGAGAATGAACGCAAAATAAACTTAAGTGCTGGTCACGGCTCTGGCCACGGAAGGTGTACTAAAGTAGACTTAGTGGATGAGTGGGCAGGTCCACAGTATGCCTGCATGCTCTGAAACCTCTGCTCATTGTTTCTGCTACCAGTGAGCATGTCTCCATACTCCCTGTCATCCTGCCTTAGCCGGCCTGTGCAGGTAACGCACCGCACAGGCTGACTTTGTTCTCAGTTGTGCATTTCCCCTTGAATGTTTGCCTGGCAGCTCTTTGAAGGTAATGGATATGGTGGTATCCAGCAGCGTGGTGCTGTTGCAGGTACTTAGGGGTATAGATCAGAGGTCCACTCCAGATATAACTAAATGCCTATGGGATGTCAAAAGACTCAATTCTTGGAAACAAATTCAATAAGTCTGTTGTGAGTTAAATACAACTCACGTGATGTGCAGTGTGAGAATTCTAGTGCCATGTGAGTTGCATTGTAACTAATGCACAGAAAAACATAACAATTTTTTTTATTAAATTAGAAAGGATCTTTTGTTTTCAAAGTTGTTATGTTTTCATAATAAAACACCATGGCCTTAGGGAAAAAATTTTTTCTCTAGTGTGGCCATCAATGTGTTAAGAATAATGCTAAATTAACTCTGCCTCTTTTCTACAAATGGAATGATAGAGCCCAGACAATAGCACATCTGTTCACAGCAACATCTACTGAAGATTTTAAGTCCACTGTTGAGACCTACCACTCAACAAAAAAAGGTTCCTGTCAGAATATTACTGCTCAGTGATAATACATCTCATCACTCAAGAGCTCCTGTGGAGCTGTATAAGGAGATGAATGTTCTCATGCCTACTAATACAACATCTATTCTGCAGCCCACAGAACAAGGAGTAATTTCTGTTTTCAAGCCTTCTTATTTAACAACTGTTTTATAAGGCTATAGCTGCCATGAAAAATGATTACTCTGATGGATCTGGGCAAAGTACATTGAAAACCTTCTGGAAAGGATTTACTATTCCACATGCCATTAAGAATATTGTGATTTATGGGATGAGGTCAAAATAGCAACGTTAACAGTAATTCAGAAGAAGTTGATTCTGACCCTTATGATGACTTTGAAGGATTCAAGACGTCATTGGAGGAAGTAATTGTAAATGTGGTGGAAATATCAAGAGAACTAAAGTTAAATGTAAGCCTGAAGATATGACTAAATCTCTACATGATAAAGCTGGAATAGATAGGGAGTTGTTTCTGATAGATGAGCAAAGAAAGTGGTTTCTTGAGATGGAGTCATTTCCTGGTGAGAATGTTTTGATTGTCAAAATGACAATAAAGGTTTTAGAATATTCCATAAACAGTAGCAAGGTTTGAGAGGACTGACTCCAATTTTGAAAGAAATTCTACTGTGGATAAAATGATATCAAACAGCATTACATGCTCCAGAGAAATGTTTTGTGAAAGAAAGAGTTGATTCTGTAAACTTCATTGTTTTCTCATTTAAGAAATTACTCCAGTAACCACCATCCTAATTAGTCAGCAGGAACTATCAACATTAAAGCAAGACCTTCTACCAGCAAAAAAGATTTTAATTTGTTGAAGGCTCACATGACCGTTAGAATTCTTTAGCAATAAATTTTTTAATTAAGGAATGTACATTTTTTTAGGTATGGTATAAACAACTTTTATATGTACTGGAAAGCAATGTACACAAAAATTTGTGTGCCTCACTTCATTTATTGGCTTTGTTGCATTGGTCTGGAACTGAATCTGCAGTATCTCTGAGGTATTTCTGTGAGTGGTGAGCAGCAGTGCATGTGAGAAGTCAGAACTTGAACCATAGCCCAGTCACGGACAGCTTTCATAAACCTCAGGCCTGAGTGCTGTCAGGGCCTCCTGGAGTGTGGGAGCATAGCAGCCACTCAGACTAGCTGTGTCTAGGTTGACTTATGGCTGTGCCTGGTAGGGAACTTTGTCCCCATATCCGAGACTCTAGAGTAGCTTACCAACCCTGAGCAGGGCTCACATCTTTTTTATTTGTAGCACATTGCAAATTGTCACTAGTTTGCAAATATTTCACTGTATTATATGCTTTTTCTTATGACTGAAAACTATTTTGTTAAAAGCTAAATTTATACATATAATGTTTTTAAATTATTGAAAGGGTTTTTTTATGGTTTTTTTCCTTTTTTTTGAGAAAAGACATGTTTTCTTGACAAAATGTCTTACTTTAAATAATGTTCCAAGGCTTTGCCCTGTTGAAGGGTTCCCTACTGTAATAATCAAAATTCAGCTGATACTTTTTGCGGCTCCAAGATTTAGCATCATTAGCAATAATCTCTCTTTATCAGATGTCTCACAGCTAGACCAAAATCAGTCACAGTAACAGCAGCCTGCAGTTCCTTGTCTTATTCTAAGTAAATTGTCCCTAACAGCTTAAAAATGAGCTGCAAAATTCTAAAGTGATTCATGCTCTCTTCTGCCCCTATCATGGGGGGACTTTTTCAATTCTGCAATCCGGTTGCAACCCCATACTGAACTCTTGATCCTTCACTGCAGAAATTTGTTAGCTCTAGCTAGATTAGATTTTTCACAGCTAATCTAACTGCTGTAGGGGTTTGCGGAGTGGGGACAGAGCTGTGCTATTGGATTTGTCCAATTCATTTGACTCCAGGACTATAATTGCACTTATGTCTTACAAGGCTTTTATAGCCTCAGGCTGGCCAGCCGCATAAAAAACAAATTGGCAGTGATACAGTCTGAGTGAAAGGGATGAAAGGCCCACATTATCAGTCTCCAGGCAGCGCTGTTCTGGCAGGAAGTTTCTTGGTTAATTTACAAATAAAACTTAGATTTTAGGATGGGCACACTGTCAGCTGAACAATGGGGATGTCAGGCTTGACTGTTACTTAGTAAAAGTAGCAGCCGGGCCCACTGAGGAGCAGGAATTCTTCAATCAAACAGACGACTCCTTCTGGAGCCAGCTGGCGATGTAATGCAATTAGTCGGGAAAGGAGGTCAGCCTGTTAGGTGCGTCCCCTGACCAGTGTCACCAGTGGCGTGCAGCCTGGCGGTAGCAGGCAGAATGATTTGGGCAGAGGGACTTTAAAACCCTGTCAGGACGAGAAGTGACAGGCCATAGGGTTGATATCTTAGACTTAAAAACCGAGCATTTGTTCCGGGCCCCATAAGCCTGTGGGTGTTTGGGAGCCTTTGTGCAGTCAGCTCCAACCCAGTGGGAGACTCTCCTTCTGGACTGCAGGAACGAGACTGGCTTGGCTGAAACTTGCCAGTGGACTTGCACCTTGAGGGGTTCTCATCAGAATTCTCCAAAACTCACAGAGCAATGTCTCTGTGATGAAGTCCCCCTTTAAACTGAGCAATAGTTTGAGGTTTCCAGAGTATTCCATTATTTTCTAACATGATTGACGGTTTGGCCAGATTAATTTTATTTGTTTTACCTACTTGTGTTCTTGACATCACTGAATGGATTCTGTGGCAGGGGGCTTCAGTCTGTTAAAAGTCATCGTGTGTGCTGTGCTCCAGCGGCCCAGCCTTTATGTGTAGGGTGTGTTTGTTGCTTTGCTCCAGATTTATCAACCAGTTCATCCTGTGTCCTTAGCTAATTAAACAGGCATGTCCAGAAGTCAGAGGCACATCAGATTGAAAGCAGCTTTGAGAGGTGGTGCCTGTGGCTCAGTGGGTAGGGCATCGGCCCCATATACTGAGGGTGGTGGGTTCAAACCCTGCCCCAGCCAAGCTGCAACAAAAACATAGCCAGGCGTTGTGGCGGATGCCTGTGGTGCCAACTACTCAGGAGGCTGAGGCAAGAGAATCGCCTAAACCCAGGAGTTGGAGGTTGCTGTGAGTTGTGATGCCTTGGCACTCTACCGAGGGCGATAAAATGAGACTGTCTCAAAAAAAAAAAAAAGAGAAAAAAGAAAGAAAGCAGCTTTGAGATGGTGAATGTTGCATTATTACTACACAAAAATAGCTGTTCTTTAATTACAGACGTGCCACACCGGTAGAATGGGTCTTCCCATTCCTGCTCCTCCTTCCTTTCCTGTAGTTCTGAGAATACAGTTGTAAAGAAAATTAGGAGAGACTTACTTGGGTTGTACGTATAATTGAGTAATCCAATTTAGAAAGGGAAGAGTAACTGAAATGTCAGTAATCACTGTCACCTCAGAGTGAATGCTTCACAACTTACATTTGTGGATCAAACCCTCCCCTGGTTTGGGGGTACCAGATTGGGTGGTTAGCAGCACATCCGAGGGGTGTTAGTCCATGAGTTATTTGCATTCAGACATTTGTGTTAGCGTTACGCCAAGGGGCCCAGAACCACCCCGAGGTCAGCTTTCTTTGCAGGACGAGGCAGGACGAGGCTGTCGGTGCGAGCTCTGGCACAGCCCTGGCTCTCACGATTCCCTTCTGCAGGTCTGAAGTCCTCCCAGACTCCTAATTAGGTCCTACCCATACTTTCCTTGAAAACTTGGCTATATTGTGTTCTTGGTGATGCTGGGTCCTGTGTTTTCACTCCAAAAGGACTAAGTTTTAGGAATGTGTTGTAATGTCTTTGCATGTTTTATTAAAAAGGAAAAAGAAAAGAAAGCTGTACTATCTAAAATGGAAATTGAAGGGAATGGGCAAAGTCACACCTAAGAGGTACAGTGCACACTTCCTGGGTAAAGGGCACACTTACAACCTTTGATGTGAAAGGTACAAAAGCAGATTACGTTGCCAAAACATGGATACCCCCATAATATTCCCAGATTTAAAAATAAAATAAAATAAAATGGGAATCAAGAAATAATAGATATTCAGCACTGCTGTGAGACCTAAGACTGTCTTTTTTTCTTTTTAACTGTTTATGTAATGGGTGGGCTGTACCTTTTGCTTGGTATACTCTTAGCCTTTATAGCTGGGGCAGAGGGTAGGGAAGAAAAAATAGAGGGTCCAGATCACTGTGGCTTATACACAGTGATGTGCAGCTGCGTCTGTCCCAGAGCCCACATTCAGACACAGTGGAGTCGTGCACCCCACAACACGCACAAAGGTACTTGTGCAGGTCTGTTTGTAATTGATTGGCTCATACGTTGTTCCCAGAGGTGTGAGGGAGTGAAGAATAAGCAACCGTTGCAATGAGCTGACTTCCTTTGCACCCTGTAAATGGAAACAGGCTGTGTTGGGGTCACCTCGGATTTTCTCTGTGTGGTCAGATATATAACAAATGTATGCATGCTGACATGTCCGTAGTACTCCAGGGCATCCTTTTGTTATTTTTTAAGATAAAACTATAACATTAGCTCTGACACAACATCTCCATAAAGTGCTTCTGAATGTAATCACTTAGTCATTTAGTGTTTGTCTGTTAGGGAAGCCAGGAGGCAGGAAGTGGTGGTTGTGGCACCAGAGAGAGAAACAAAACCTCAGCTTCCCTGGCAGTGTCAGAGCGCCTTTGTCAGTCAGGCTTCATGGCTTCAGAACTTCAGTTTTGGCCAACATTTTAATCTTATTGTCTAATTTCTTTTAATCATGTTCTGAGGCCTACTCACATGATTTCATATCCCATCTTTCTCTAGCTGGAGGCAGTGTAGTCGTCACCCTGTGGGTTTATCAAGGCAGGGTGTTCTTACATCCAACAAGCCAGGCCTGAAAGATCTCTGAAGGGATATTTCCTTGGAGCTCTCCCTGCCGAGGCCTCCTCAAAGAGGCCAAGAGTCTTTGATTTGGTTTTGGACTTGCTTGCCTCTTTGTGTACAAAATGATAAAGAAAAAAGTGGGCTGAACTATTTGAACTATGACAATAAAGTCTCTTTTGGTGCAGGCTGAAATAATGTAGAACAATAGAAATGGTGCTGAGATGACAGCCTGGGCCAGGTCCCCATGCCTGCTCCACTGCTCACGGCTCACACAACCTCGAACCGACAGTGCCTTTGCCTCCTGAGCCCCACTTCTTTGTAAGATGAGATAAAGGGATAGATATCGTCTACCTGAGAGATAGTGGGAAGAGTACAGTATGTATAAACATGCTTTCTGTAGAGTAAGGACTCCAAGCGCTGGGGAGTCTGTCCTCAGCAGACTTGAGTAATATTTATTTCCTAAACAAAGGTACTTTTATGTCTCCTTTTTCTTAAAGGTTTAGCACAAGTCCAGTTCCCTATGTATGTTTGGTAACTATTGTGATACAATGGTATACGTTTTCTTATATTCATATTCTTAATTTCCTAACAGTGGCCCAGTGAAGAGTGTAATGGGGAGTAAAAGACTCACACCAGTAATTCTTCATAGATGTGCTCAACAATGTAAAACAAAACTCTGATGCAGCAGTAAAATGTCATTAAAAAACAAATTCTTTGCAAGGTCTCAGCACCACCCCTCCCTGATATGCCTGTAATGCAATATAGATGATCTTAGTACCAGCCTGCTAAGGAGACAAGCTTCTTTTTATGCATTTATGCTTTTTTAAAATCCTCATAGAAGACATCAATGTTGTAGTCTTCCTTAGTGGTGAAACATTCTTGCCTCTGAGTTTCGTAATTCACTTCGTAAGCCACAACTTCTTATAAAAAATTGCTGATTTGCTGTTGCAGCTCCGTCACTTGGGGAATGACGAGGTCCACATTGTCTGGTCTGAACACTCCAGGGATTACCGCAGGGGTATCATCCCAACTGCCTTCGGAGACGTTTCCATCATTATTTACCCAATGAAGAATCACATGTTCTTTATCACGATAACGAAGAAACCTGAGGTCAGTTTTCAGTTTTCGCCGCGTGGTTGCCCTCACACAGCATTTGCTGAAAATCAGTGATATAAATATGGTCAAGGGGCCTCTTCCCAACTGGTGAATGTCTGACATATATTTGAATTACATGCACTATTTAGGATTTAGGGCTTCTGGAGCACAGCCCATGTGATGATTTCTAACTATCGAAGCACCTTGCCATGGAATCAATTCAGCGGTATCAATTGGTATTGATCATGGGAATGGCTGGAACAATCCACTGGTCGGTGTGATGTGGGCTAAACTGGCTGCAGTTTCAGTCCTTGTCACACCTTCAGTCGTATTTCAGCAATATTTTATACAGTGACTTGTTTTCATTTTGGAATTACTAAGTAGGAAAGTTTTTTTTTAGTTTTAAATTAAAAGTTAGCATATTAAAGCCATTCCTCAAGAAGAATGACTTGGTGTTTCTCTGCATGATGCTAAATGTAATCTTCATTTTCATTCCAAATTAATCTCCTGAAGGAGCTAAAGTTATCCTTCTAAAAACACTCCATTTTTAAGCTTTAAAATAATATGTAATTGAAGTTTATTGTTCAAATTGGGGTTTATAACCTAAAGTGTTAAAGTTATGAGAATTAAATGAGGTAATAAATGAAAAGTGCTTCAAACAGGGCCTAGTTCAGAGTAAAAGCTACTTAAATGTTGGCTATTATGATGATTGTTTTAATTATTTTTTGTTATAGTTACTACTATGGAAATAGAATAAATAATGAATTCTAAAATCCACTTGCTTATTGTCTCTCAGACATTGTGAGTGATCCCCGGGAAAGTCCCCGTGTAGCTGTTGCAAAGCCTTGCATTAAGGGACCCTGCTTTCTTATTCAGAGAGTAAGGATGCTACAAGTCACTTCATACTAAATATCTGTACTATCTTTGATTCAGCGCTCTGAGGATGTGAAGGTGCAGTTTTATGTAAGAAAATGGCTTAGTTAGTGACATTTGCATTTGTCCATGAAAAGCACCACTTATTTTTAAGAATCGGGTTGAAAATTTTACTGTAGAGAATCAACAAATATAGTATCTTATAGCTTTTAAAAATAGAAAATGTATTTCTTTAATATTTAGTGTGGATTAACTGGCTTTGTTAGTTCGTATTCAACATGGCCCTCTAAAATGTCATTTAATGTTCTAAAAATATCACCTTTATTTTCAAAGTAAATGAAGAACATAAAAGGCATTTCAGTTCACTTTATAATGTCAAAAGTGATTTTTTAAAAATATAGTAACACTTTTAATGCATGAAAGTAATCCTTCACATATCTTGTAAAATTTCTTACAAAATGTTAAGTTTTATGAATTTGGTCCTAAATTCTGACAAGATGAATCGAGCAAATCACTTTCTTAATATTTTAATTCAAAAAGCCTAAAGGGAAGAAGAGAATAATGGCCAACTGGAAATTTAGTATTATCCCTACATTTAAAGTACAAACCATTACAATGTAATAAAATTAATCCAGACATTTCCAGGGCAAGTGTGGCTGACCTTTTGTTCACCATCCCCTGACCCCAGGGTGAATGCAAGAGGCTTGTGGAGGGAAAGTCTGTTTGTTTGGCTTCAGTCCCTGGTATTTAAATTGCATTCCCTAATCAAATGAAAAGGCTGTCCTCTCTATCAGGTTACAGAATCCATGGCAACATTTGGCCTTTTATATCCATAATGTTAGCCTTTTTGTTTGCATCTAAGTAGAGACACCTGGAGCAATGTTAACATTAACCGATTTAGCATTAATAGCTTCATTATATAAGAATTTCTGATCAGATAGCTGTTACTTTTGTTATATTGCTTCAGCTTGTATTGTTGTCATTTTTTATCTCCCTGCTTGGCAACCAGGCAATGATTTGCAAATTTTTTTTGTCTTGATTAATTAAGCAATATAATTATCAGTAACCGTGATGCAGTCTTTGCTCAACAAAGCTTCTGAGAGAAAACAATGGTAAGTCTGTTAGTATGAATGCATTCCACGCGTCCCAGATGCATGAGGATATTACGGACAATGAGGGGAAAGGCCGCCTGTGAGCGAGGACAAAGGGTGCCGCGCAGACTCGACACTCTGCACATACCGCCAGGGACATGCTGCGGGCTCCCTGGGACACAGACGCCTCGTTAGGTTACAGCTAGTCAGCAGAGATTAATTCTCAGCCATTTGGTGCAATAATTTACCCATTCCCTAGTCTTTTAACTAGTGCTCCTTGCTATGAAAGGGAAGGAAAGGCTTTGTACTCAAAAGGTTTATTTAACCTTGCCTACTTTTAGGGATCTCTACCAAAATCATTATTTTTGCACAGAAATTATAAAGATGCAGCTGCTTAAAGTTAACAGAGTAATTCCTTCTGGGGAAAAGAGGACATGCATAAGTTTCAGAAATTGTAGATGGAGTCGAAGACATTCTTTAACCATCTATAGATTTCATCTGAATATAGTATAACTCTGTGGTCTAGGCATATTTATTTTACTGGTCTCTGGGCAGCCATACTTTTGAAGAATAATTTTAATCCTTTTTTTAGGAGGAAAAAAACTTCATCAATACACAAAAGTCCTGCTCATTGATAGAGTCATGCATATTCAAATTGTGCTTTCATTCACTGGGCCTCATTAATAGCGTATGTAATAATGTAGGGCTATTTGTAATACAAGCTCACAGGCAGCATTGCTTCCAAGTCCTTTGAAATTTAACATATTTCGCTTTTTCATTCCATACACCTCCCTTAAATGTACAAATTATGTGCCTGGCAGAATCCGCCTCTTAATAATATACAGCATTTGCGAAATGGTGTGTTGAAGAAGTGGGTGTGTTTGTGTGAACGTATAAAACCCTCTCATCTCAGAGGGCCTGTTCACTTCTTGAGATTTGCATTGAACTTTTTTTTCATTAAAAGAAAAAATCAGTGTGTTTAGCAGCATCATTTGATTGTTAAAGTACTTTCAAAGAGTCCATCTCCATAAATATTCACACAATAGTCCTTTGGTCATAGAAATGTGTTATTGTCAGACTTAATGTTTTTTTCCTACTTTTTTTTAACCAAGTCAGCAGTCAAGGAAAGAGCAGAATGTGAGCACTTTCAAGGGTTTGTTAACATACCCGTCTGTTCTTAAGAAAAGTGATTCCTGACGTCCACACTGCAGTGAGTGCTTGTGCTGTTCTGCTGCCTTTTGGTAACTGGCAAGTAATGTTGCTGTTCAGAGTGTTATCTCTGTGAGGTTGCGAAGATCAGTTTTAGTGTTTGTGGTGTGTTTATTATCTCCAGGTACATTGGTGACTGGCTCCAACCAGTCCACTGGAGGGTAGGTGTTCTGGTGTACAGTTGAGACAAGAGGAAGTCTTGGTGAAGCAGCTTCCTTTTTGTCTCAACTAGAGTGTCGCTTTTGTAAGTGAAAAACATGAGCTTGTCCTCCAAGCTCTACTCACTTGGCCCTGCTAGATATGGTCGTGGAAGAAAATCTGGTCATGATGCAGTCACTTCTGAGAAGTAAAGGAAGAAAAGAGCACTAGGAGAGAAGAGGTGACCCCACAGTCTAGCTCCAGGGCCACCGTGAGTGAGTAGGCCCCTTGGGCAGCTCTTTCTATTTCTTTCAACCTTAGTTTCCTCTGCCATAAAGTTAAGGATGGAGACTAAAGCCCTCTGGGGATTCTAAACGCCTCTGTTGGGTGTCCTTCCTCCTAGAAGCCCGTGCTTTTCCTCATATTGCCCTAGCACGAGGGCATGGTCAAGACAAGGTCTGGCTTTCTTGCAGGTTCAGCAGCTGTTGTGAGTGTGTGTCCCTCTTCAGAATGACATCTGGCCCAGGAACTTTGCCTGGAGCAGGTGCCCAAAAATGCTGGTAAAAGGCTGATATGCCAGAAGTCATAAAAGCATTTGCACATATGAGGCTGAGAGAAGGCCGGTATTGGCTCTTGTGTTTGAAAGAAAACCTTTTAAGCTTACTGACGTGGCCTTATTATATAGGGAATGTGTTTGACTTTACAACGCGATTATGTAAATTTCTTTTTCTTTCAAACGTACTGTTTTCTTAAATATTTACCCCAATTCCAACCAAATAACCCATTTGACATTAGATCATGCACTTTAAAATACTTGGAGAAATTCTAAGGGAAGGTTAAGTTGTTAACTCTTGAATATGCCAAAAGTCATTTATTTAGAAAAGATAATTGAAAACACCAACCAGAATTTACTAAAATAAGTTGTCAAATGGATTACTGTGGTATGTTCTACTATGATAATTTACTATTATTAGCAGTAGTATTATTTTTAGTAAAGGATTGACATTGAATATTACATAAAAAGGCATCCATCCTTTGTAGATGTTACATTAAAATCAAATTTCTTCTCTAATACATTGCCACTTCTAATTAGAGGAATTCCCTGGATATGGGAGATTTGTATAATTTGTTTTGTCCAGTTTTTGAAAGTTGCCAAAGAATAATAAAGAACATTTATTTATATATAATGCCCCCCCCTCTCTCTCTCTATATATATAGATATATGGCCTGTTATTAACTCTTAACTCCTGTCTTATCTGTCTCGACATGTTGGCTTTGAGAATTCCTTCTTAACTGATTTTCCCTTTCGGTTCGTCTTTGATCTTGTCTTTGCACTTGCTGTACTTTCTCTTCTGGTCACCAGAGCCCTCCCGTGCACATATGTACCACATGGCAGCTGGTAGACTTAGCTTTGTGTCAGACGCAGGACAGTTCTTGTTCTCCACGACCGGGCTTTTTGGTAGGAAGGGCCTTTTGGCTCAAAAGACAGAGGGCAGTTTCCCAGAGCCTCAGTGTGCCCTTCCTAAGTTTCTGGCCACAGGTGCATAGGCTGTGGGCCTTTCGCCCTGGCAGTGGGTGTCAGAAGCACTTAGAACCTTTTTGTGAGAAGGAAACCAGGCCCACTGCCCTGGAGTTAGAGGTTCACCCTTAGGGGAGTGTTTTCTGTGCTGTATTTGAAAGTTATTAGTTTACTATTTGTTTGTT